CCCCGCTGTCCTTTGAGACCCGCCCTCCGTGGCATTACGTTCCAGACTGAGCTCTGCTCCCCACTTCCCGGTTCCCCTTTCAGTGCCTCCGTCTGTTGCTCCTGCTCCCCCACCCCCGCTGGCTCCCAGCCGTGGCCCTTCCTGTCACTCCTGAGCCTCGTGTGTGCACCTTGCCGCTTCTGCCTCTCTCGCTGCCCCTCGCCTCCCTCGCTGCTGTGGTCCTTAGTCACTCACGCCGGTGGGCTCTTCAGCCACTGTTTCCACAGATGTGTCACTGGCAGGACTTGGGTGACAGAGTAAATCAACTCTCAAGAGGGTCTTCCCTTTATGAGATCTCCTAACCGTCCCTTTGTTCGCGTCCCAGCTCCTCTCTGGTGACTTGTGTCATCGGCCTTTTCTTTCTTAAATGTGCTGATTCCATAGGCTTCTGCCATTTGCCTCCCCCATTACACCATCATTTGTTAGAATGTGACTACAAATTACTTTGAAGCTTGCCTTTTAAGTAGAGCAAAAATAGATAATTAAAGCAGATTTGTACTAGAGATTCCATAATTGCTATAATGAATATGCATTATAGAAGATGCTACCTAATTATCAAAACCCTTGTTTTTAAATAGATGAAATTAAATTTCAGATTAACAACTATTTCAAATAAATCGGGGTTGTTTGTTGTTTCAGAAGAAAGAAATACTCATCCCAATTACCATTTTTTTATCACAGGGTGCTGCGTGTTGGTGGAGCCATGGTCTTGCTGCTCAGTGAGGATCACCACAGGCACCTTAGAGACTGTGGAGGCAGCAGCATCCCCCCGACTTCCCAGGGCAACATCACGGATCCCGAGATGAGGATGTTTCTGAATCCTGACAAAAGATCTGGTACATCAGACACAGCATCGCCTTCACAGAAAGCCAGTAGTTCCCAGTGCCCAAGCAGAGTGGTGCCCTGTGGCTCCCTGGTGCCAGTGGAGTGCTTCAAAGTTAGCCTTGGAAAAACAGATGCCTTCATATGTAAATATAAAAAGGCACCCACTTCTGGACCGCCTCCTGCTGGATGCCATGAGCCAGGTGCACCTCCTGAAATGGCAACCCTGCCGGAATCCCCCAGGCTCCAGGATTCCTTATAGCCCCAGAGCGCCAAGTGCCAAGCCTCTGCAGATGGATGTGGCCAAGGAACACACTGGTTGAATAAAGCTTCCTGCTCTCCAGTACTCAGTGTTCTTGACAAGACCAGCTACTGAAGATTTGAAAAGATTGAGTGTTAAAAACTACTTCATCCCAGAAATCAAACTTTTAGAAATGAGGAAACCTTTATGTGTAACTTTTTATATATATATATATATTAAACTTGACTTTTTAACTTATAATTTGCTTCTCCATTGAAATGAAAATTATTTTTATTTGCTGTAATTGATGACTCATATTTTGTAAAACATCAGATAATAACAGGAAGCTGGAATCCCTCAGCATGATGAAAATGAATTTTGCTTTTTTAAAAGATTTATTTATTTTTATTTTATGTCTGTGTATGAGTGCTTACATGGATGTGTGTGCACCATATGTGTGCCGTGTTAATGGAGACCTGAAGACAGCATCAGATTCCCTGGACCTGGAGTTACAGGCTGTTGTGAGCTGCCATGTGGGTGCTGGGAACTGAATCCAGGTCCTCTACAAGAGCAGCCAGTGCTCTTATCCAGTGGGCCATCTCTCCAGCCCCTGGAATTTGCCTTTTTGAAAAAGCATTAATAAATTGTTCCCTTACTCTCCTTTGTAGAGATTCGATGTGATTCTCATGTTTGCTGGTTGAGAAAGAGAAATTGGAAGGTAGTTAACATACATGTTCTTACCTGACCTTTTATATAATAACTCACTCTTTGTCAGGCTTGATACGGTTTGAACGAACTTCCTATGTTCAGGAACTCCCCACCTTTTGACTCTCATCTCCCCCATAACTTGCCTTCCAAGCAGGGTATAGTGTTTAATCTAGCCACGGCCCCACAAAGGTACACTGACTAGTGCAAGCCATGCATCTGTGTGCTGCAGCAGCAGCAGCAGCAGCAAGGTGGTCTCTGCCAGAACATTCCTGCCCTGGAGCTTCAGCTTCTAGCTTGGCTTTCCGGCTTTGCTAGGTGAATTTGGAATGCTGTATGCTAACTTTGAATATGTTCTGCTTTTGCTCAAAGTCTAGATTTGCTTGCTAACAAGTAATTGCTAGCTAATGTGGAACTAGATACTCCAGGATTTCAAGCAAAAAGTCCCCAGAAATTCAAGTGTGTTGTTGGTTGTGAAGCCTGGTGAGGTGAAAGACAGGGCATAGATAGCAATGTAGACAGCTTGTGGCAGGTCTTGGTAGTGAAACAATCCGTTCCTCCTGTGCTTACACACTGCCACAGAATGCATAAAGACCCTGAGGAACACCAGCTCTGAGGAGTGGCCTCTGTTTATAACAGAACTTGGCAACCCAGGAGAAGACATTCAGGTTCCCATCTTGAGTCAATGCAGTGGTCTCAGCCAGGGGCAACTTTGTCTGGAGACGACCTATGGCAATATCTTCAGACTTTTTGGCTGCCGCCTTAAGCAGAGAGTGAAAATTGGAGTCTAGTGAATAAAGACTAGGAATTGTTAAGCATCCTGCAATGCACAAAATGCCACCAAAGCCAAGCTGAGAAACATGGGCTTATGACAGAGCAGGGAACGCCAGGAATGACTCATGATTGTGTGACGACATTGCCTTCTGGTCACCATTGGACTGAGGGAGCAAAAGAGCAAACTCAGAATCTGAGCCTGTGAGGTGCCAAGTTCTGTCAGCTGAATTCACAGCCTAGTTTTTTTTTTGTTTGTTTGTTTGTTTGTTTGTTTGTTTTTTGGTTTTTCAAGACAGGGTTTCTCTGTGTAGCTTTGCGCCTTTCCTGGGACTCACTTGGTAGCCCAGGCTGGCCTCGAACTCACAGAGATCCGCCTGCCTCTGCCTCCCGAGTGCTGGGATTAAAGGCATGCGCCACCACCGCCCGGCACAGCCTAGTTTTTATGTGGAGGAAGTTAGTCCATGATGAGGGAAGGAGAAACCATAGACTTGAATGGAGATGTGAATGACTGAACTATCTCAAACCCACTCAGGCTTCTGGGTGCTCCTGTTGAGCAAGCCCACATGCATTAGCAGATTTTCTTCATGCCTTCTGGACTGAAGACAGAACCCAGCAGCCTTGGGACCTGGGGAGAAAAGGGCTTTTACAGCAGAATTCCAAAGATTGCTAATTGATAGACAAAAGTCCAGTAATTGGGGGGGAGGGGGTTATATCTTAACCAAAATTGGGACCAAATTAAATTGTTGCTATCAATGCAGTTAACATAGGACTCTATATTTATAATAGAATGAGTACCTGGGAAGGTGTGGTTTGAGTAAGAATGGATCATCTATTTGAACACTTAGTCATCAGAGAATGGCACTTCTAGAGAAGGATTAGGAGGTGTGGCCTTATTGGAGGAAGTGTGTCACTGATTCTGTATCTCTACAAAATCCTCAATTTAAAGAGAGTGAGTTTCTGTTCCCTCACGCCTTGTATACCATTCTCTGCCCAGCCATCACTTCCTGGGATTAAAGGCATGTGTGCTTCCCAGTATTGGGATTAGAGGTGTTTGCCACCACTGCCTGGCTCTGTTTCCAGTAGAGGTAAAAACTAGTGGGTGGCTGTTCTGCTTCTCTGATCCCCAGGCAAGTTAGGGTACACAATAGCTCACCACAGGTTTCCTCTTCCTGATGCCTGTGGATTCAATGTAGAACTCTCAGCTACCTCCCCAGCACATGTCTGCCTGTGTGCCGCCACTGATGATAGTGGACTAAACCTCTGAGGCTGTAAGCAAGCCCCAATTAAATGTTTTGTTTTGTTTTCTAAGAGCTTCCTTGGTCATGGCATCTCTGCACAGCAATAGAACACTGGCTAAGACAGAAGAGCTCGAACCATTCGAATACTTGATCAACTGAAACCTAAACTTAGTGGCTTCCTCACTCCCTGAATCCGAATGGCAGAATTCAAGATATATAGAAGAATTCAAAAGCCTTATGCAGAGAAGCATTGGAAAGGACTTACTATATTTGCCCACCCTTCAACTCTGCTCTCTCTCCCGAAGCCCGAAAAATGTGGCCTCCGTTACAGCATTGATGGTGGAGGAATCTCTCTAGGGGCTGGACCGGGGAGGTGGGGGATGTAGGATACCACTATCGCAGTAGGCCTAATCTCAGTAGGGAAGATGAGCACCGCATGAGCCATCTCAGTAAAGAAACCGCTATCAATGGGCACAGACACAAGTGGAGTCCAAGGCCTGAGTGGTACCTCACATGTCTCCTCCCCAGGACCCTGGGTAAGGGAGACTAGGTTGAGCTTCCCTAGAGTCCACTCAACACC